AAAACTAGCACAAAGGCTCTTCTGAAAATTAAAGTTCCCTTCTTCTTTAAATGTGAAAATGTTTCTCTTAGGGATACATAGTCCCGATATACTCTTTGTAAGAAATGAACTTCAAACTTTACTCTTTATTTAACTTAAAACTCAATTCTTAAAACAAAGATAAAGTATTTGTAAAAAACTTTTGGAGAACTCTATGAACTGCTCTTGACTTGACTCTTAATTTTCCTTGAATTTGAATTTATAGATTCAAGGATTGTGATTTGTGATACGAAAGATCTCATGATGGTTAGGACTGTTTTTAGATAGTTAAACATGATAAAAGATCAAGAAATCACTACATGGAAGTAAGTCTGCGACGCAGAGATGGATTTAAATATTTGGTCACGAATAAATTTTGAGGAAGAACGGTCTCTCACCACTCCATGACGCGAAGAACATTTTTCAAATCCTGAGGAACATGTCAGTAACGCGAACTTGGTACTCAGATTTGTCCGACTTATTCCTTCTTTTTTTCTAACCCCAAATCACCGAAATTCAATTCTTTTTCTCAATTCCTCTTTAGATTAAGATACCTAGCACATTTACACAAGAATCTAACTAAAGAAAACTCTAACAAATGACCTTAAACACTCAAGAACTTCAAAAATGCAACTCAAGAACATCAAAGTCTCAATCTTTTAAGATGAAAATCATACTCAACTAAACATGTTTGGCGCATGAGTGGAAAAAATCAACGTTATGTGAAATCACATACCTCTTAGGGATCATGCTTTGACGAAATCCACAAGTGATTCTTGAATAATTTTTACATTCTTTCTCCTTCTCCTCTTTTCTCTTCCTATTTTCTCTTCCTCTTTTCTCTTCTCTAAAACCCAAACTCAATATCGTAATTGCATAAACAGAATCCTATAATTTTGGACCCCAATTAGTTATCAAAAATGTAATTGCGTTTTGGATTCTGGAAAAGACCATAATGTCCTTCTAAAATCTGGACTAGAGTTTTATTATTTGAATAACCTAACTTCAAATGTGCATTTCTTACTCATACAAATTCGGAATCGCGCAAATTCTGTGGCGTTGAAAAGATTATTCCAAGATCTTTCCTAGGATATCTGGAAGGACTCCTAACTCATCATGAGTTATCAGATTTACCAAAAACTCAACTTAACATATTTGATAAAATTTCCTGATTTTTATATTCTTTCCAAAAATGACTGTTTCCAATTTAACTTTTTTCTAGTTCTTTCAATTAGCGAGATGTTACATTATTTGTGATTATTTTTGTATTTTTATATTGTATACATCAATTTCACTCGCCCTAAAATAAAAAAAAATATTTAACATGCATTAAATTGTAAGCAACTGTGGATGGGCGGAGTTGGTGGGTGCCCCGTGCCTACTTAGAGATCCTTTATAAAATAAACAAATCATGTTCAGTGTGCTTCATCTACGACATTTTCTACCAACTCAAACATCTTTTACTTAACTATTTTATTTATTTTTATATGTTAGAAGTCTTCATAAGTCAGTCTCTCCCCCCTCCTCTCACACAAAACATCACAGAGAGACAAAGAGAGAGCTGAATCTAAATTCCCTGATGTGGCACCCTCCAATGGCCAGCATTTATAATTATCTATTTTTGATTTTTTCTAAATTATTTCTGAATTTTTTACCTCAAAACAAATACATAAATGAGTAAAAATATCACACCAAATAAGGAATGAAAAAATGGCACTGTGTGACGACCTAAGACTTTATTGGCAACAAACAGCCCACTTTAAACTTTTTGGCAAAAAAAGATTTTTTTGTTATTTATTTGGCATTAAATAGCCACATCTTTTTTATTTGAAAATAATTTTTTTTTTATTTTCTCACTCTATTTCTTAATAGTTATCATGTCTGCTTTTATTGTTCCTTTTTCCTCTCTCCTTATAATTTGTCAACAATTTTTTTATGCGTATTATTCCTTATATTTTTTAATTCTGTCTATCTTCCTTTTTTTTCTCCCTCTTTCAAGTTAAGGATTTCTATCTTTTTATCTAAAATGTTTTTATTAAAGATCAATCACAACATTAACTCTTCACGGTAAGTATCACTCAAATCATATGAATTTTATTTATATTGATTATCTGCGTTATTTTAAAAAAAATTTAAAAAATTTACATTGTTTATCTTGTAGTTGGATGCAAGATTTATTTTTTTTTACAAATTGTCGTATTTGTATTTTTTGCAACGTTTTCCTCCCCCAAAAACTTTCATATATCGTGATTTCCTAAATTAAGATTTTCTCAATTTCTAATAAATAATTAATTAATATATCTCTGACAAGTTTTTAAAATATTGAATTTTATTGATTGGATTTGATAAAGAATATTTATTTTTTCTCCAACAAATGTATCTAAGTTTGTTAATGAATTCAAACGAACACATAATAATTTAAAATTATCTAAATTTATTAATAAATTTTATTAATTGCATTCCAAAGTAGTAATGCAAGCAACTGTATACTAAAAACACTAATTCAAACAAACGTATACCAATTTATAAAGCAATAGGAATGAATGTATCCAATACAAATGTATATCTATGTTAATTTGAAAGATATTATTGCAAATAAATGTATATCAATTTATTATGCGGACAAGGACCTAAAATACCCTTAAAGTATTGAAAATGGTACAAAATTACCCTTCATCCACCTATTGGCTCCAAAATGCCCTTTTCATCCACCTATTGGCTCCAAAATACCCTTGTCATCCACCTTTGTGTTCAAAATTGACCACTTTTTTAATTGTTTTAAAATTAAACTCTTTAAATATTTTTTAAAATACTTGGCTTTCAATTATTGATTATAATTATAATTTATTAATATAATTTATAAACCAAACCACTACACACTCATTACTAACTAAACCTCACCCAATTAATAATCCAATTATAATATCAAAATCGTCATAAACACAACTAAAACACGATGAAATTATAGATTTCTGAAAACGGCATTCAAAATTATTCGAGTCCGAATTGGAGCCCCAATTAAATATAGGTTGAGCCGCTTATTTAGGAGGATACCTTCTTTCAAAATAGAATTAGAAATTTATGATTAAAAGGTAAAGAAGTAATGCATTCCGAATTGATTCATGCACTTTTTTTAAAGATAATTTTATAAATATTTATGATTTTTTAAAAAACTTTAATATATTATTATGAAAAAAAAGTTACCTATGAAATAACATCACATAATTGAGACGTAAGAATAATTAAGATAAACATAGTCAGACTTTTAAGTTTATTGGTGATTTTTATTTAGTCACTTGAATGTATGATAATTTACTTTTATAATTTTAAAAAACACTCAATTGACAGTAGCTTGTATTAATAATGTGACAGATTCATTAATTTAGAGGGATTTAATTATTAATGGGGTGAGTAGTGGATTGATTTATAAATTATACTAATAAGTTAAATTATAACATATAGTTGAGCATCACGTATTTAAAAAAATATTTAAATAGTTTAAATATAAAACCGTTAAATAAGTGGTCAATTTTGAACCAAAAGGTGGATGGCAAGGGTATTTTGGACCCAATAGGTGGGTGGGAAGGGTATTTTGGAGCCAATAGGTGGATGGAGGGTAATTTTGTACCATTTCCAATACTTTGAGGGTATAGGCCCTTTTCCATTTATTATGAATATGAACAAATGTATACCAATTTATTATGAATAAGAACAAATGTATACCAATTTATTATGAATACAAATGTATACAATGCAAATGTAAAATTAGAAACATAAAAATGAAAACAAATATGTCAGTTTACAAATGAATATGAGTGAATGTATCCAATATAAATGTATACCTATGTAAAATTTGAAAGATATTACTGCAAGAAAATATAATTGTACACCAATTTATTATGAATACGAACGAATGTATCCAATACAAATATATGTCAATCATTATATAAATATTATTAATAGATACTAATGAAAACAAATGTATACAAATTTGTTAACTAAATATGAATTGAGTTCAAAGGCAAAATAATAGATAGGTAATGAACTCATAGAAACCTTTGACATAAGTATAATCATGATCAAAATATTATTTGTTAATTTTACGAAAAAGATATAATTCTAAACTATATTTTGCTAGTTTTAAGTGAAAATGATTTGAGATAGAACAGAGATGGTATTAATTATTTTTTTATTTTTAAAAATATAAGATAATTTGGAAGAAGAGAGTTTTGAATAATCTTTTGCTAGTTTTAAGGAGATGGTTGGAAGTTAGAAGAGAGATGAAATTAAATTTCTTTTATTATTTCAGAAAAATGCGTAAAAATTTGAAAGGTGAGATAATTCTAAATAATGTTATGCTAGTTTTAAGGAGCAATGGTTGGAAGTTAGAAGAGATGTGATATTACAAATCTTTTATTATTTAAAAATAAATAAAAAAATGTTGAAAATCACTTTTAGGCTAATATTTGTCAATTTTTTATTTGTTTATTAATTGTTCATTAATATTGGGTTATATGTTGTCAATTATACGTAACACTTATCTAATTGTGTCAATTCCTCAATAGGAATATTACAGCCCAAAACGTGCAGCCCAAACCATTTAAAACTCAACCCAGTAACATAACATTAATAAACCAATTAAAAAGGTTAAGTTATGGGCCTTAAAAGAATATCTATCTATCTATCTATCTATCTATATATATATATATATATATATATATATATATATATATATATACTAGATAGGGTTAGCCTGTGCTAAGCACAGGCCCAACATTTATATTTTGCAATGTTTTTGATAATTCCTTCAGCTTCAGTTCTCTAATTTTCTTCATCATATTGCTTTTCAAACAACTTATAAACTTCAATTTTGAATAAAACTAAAAAAACATGAGCAAGTATATAAAAAGCTTTAGACTAATTAGTTCTATTGGTATATAATTACTATTTACTGACGCAACAATAAATTGTAAAATAAAAAGTTAAAGCAAAATAATCACAAGCTTCCACTGAAATTTCTTAACATATTTTTTTGTTACATAATTGTAACTTCATTGGTTCTTCCGGTAGTTATTTGATCTTCATATAATACAAGATATTCAACTCAAATTTCTTAACATATTTTTTTGTTTCAGCAATCCCTGCATAATATATATTTCATAGAAACTTCAGTTAGTTTCAAACTATAACTTCATATAATTATTAGTATTTCGACAGAGCAATAGTTTCTAAAAGTGAGAAGACAGTGGATTGCTTCCTTCCTGATCTTCTCTGTACATGCAACTCCTATTGCATAAGTTGGAACATTTTATTGTAGATTACCTCATGTTAAATAGATTAAAAGGCTACTAACCATGTGAACAAGCAACCTCATTTCCTGCTAGAAATCCTTCACACTATTATCTCCTTTATCTGAATTAATTTATAAGCATCATATTAAGCCTGTGGTATTTTCAATAACATATCATCAATGGATATTAACATATAGTGCAGGCTACTTGAAGCAAAAGGCCTACTATTTAAGTAGAGTAGGATAATTTAATAATAGTCTTCAAGATTTACTTGTAATATTAAATATCAAAGAACATTATCGTTGTAAACATGATTTTGACCGGCAATTACCTGAAAGGCAGCAACAAAAGCTCTTATTTAGTGTGATGTTATATGAATGAGTTATGGTAAAAATAGAGTGTCACCTTAAAGAACATATTAAAGTCTAACCTCAAGTAAATATCCATCAAATATCTAACTAACAATAATAATTTATCACAATACAATTAACAACATGTCAGTTGTCACACATGTACGTTGTCCAACAAAAAGCTTAACGAAAATGAAATCCGGTAGAATACAACATTTAGCCATATAAGATCAGAAAGAAAAACAAACAATATTGTAACCAGGTAAATAACGTAACTTCAATAAAATGATTGTGTTAAAATATTACAATATATACATACGGAAATAATCAAGCTAGCAAGAATACAGATACATAGATGTAGCTAAACTATTTATAGAAGAGGCGCTAGTCTAAGAAACACTACTTGAACAACTCAAAATTTACTTTGGAAATGACTAAAATCGCAACTCATATAGTCAAGTTCGGTCAGAAACTAAAACACAAAAATTTATTTCTATTATACACATAAAGGTAATACCAATATACCACATTCAACAAATTATTATATCTATTTTCACATTCTAAATATCATTTTCACCTTAACTCCACTCAAAAGTCAACAAATAAGCTACCTGAATCTCTATTTTAATACAAATAGTTTAGAGATAATGTCTATTTGACTTAAGTGTTTTCAAATAACAAAATTAAATTTGATGTAAGATTTAATAGAAATAGTCATAGATTTCTACCATTGTTCTCAACATCATTTCATCTAAGGGTGCAGATGAATTACAAAACAAAAATAAAGGTATCAGATAGAAAAGACAACATAAACTCAAAATTATTCTAGAATAATGAAGTAAGCTCATAGCATGAATAAGACTATCCCATATAAAGATCTACATTATACAAAACTCTTAACTGAATCTTTTTTTTAAAAAAAATTCATTAGCAAATGCATTGAAATTACTTACCAATTAAAAGAAAAAAGATATTCATTAGTGAGGTATCAAACATTTTACAATGTTCCAAAACATAAGTTAAGAGAAGAAAAATGAAAAGGCAGTCGATGTAGCCTAGTAATAATAAAAGTATAAGAAATAATATATTTAACACTCCATTGAAATTGTATGATACCATTTCTCGGGGCCTTGCACCTGATCCAAGTAAGCATCAGATGTGACATACCTCAATGAAATATACTTGTATCTTGATTCTAAGATATGATTTGATATCGAAGATGCTGAAGCGAAATTGTTATTTTAAGTTGAATTCGCATGACCGCATTTAAAAAATCATAGAGCGTAGTAAAAGAAAGCAACACAAGCATCTTATTTATATATTACATTCTATTATTCTAAGCCAATTGAATGTTGTGCAAATCCAACCATCTAACAATGCATCTTTTGATATTCTAAGAAACACGATGAGGTAATCATGGATCTCCTCTGAATGAAACAAAAGAAAATCAAAAGCACGACAAAAACTGAAAAGCATGGGGATATATCAAGAGAAAAAAGATATGCAAATATTACCTTTAATAATGTAATAACCGATTGATCATCAAATATATCAACACTACAATCATCCAAACAGTTAACCTGCAAATGGGAGTAAACAAGTAAAACATTGCATAAGATTCTCAGTATACCTAATTTTAAATGGCATACATCTCAATTGTCATAGGATTGAACTCCTCATCAAGTACCCTTTTTATTGACAATGAATAAGAATCAAATCATTTTTTAGATACTACAAATTATACTATAT